ACTGGGCAGGTAGCCCTCATTAAACAGACCACTGCTTGACCCTCAACACGGAGCCTTGTCTCGTCTTTGGGGGGATTTACTGTATGTTGATAGAGACTGATTGCCAGGAGTGTAAGCCGCTTGGGTGCTTTTCCTGTTCGTCTGCTAGCAGCTATTCGTGAGGTTCCAGTTCGAGTGTTTGGAGCATTCCCTTGTATGCAGTTCGAGTGTTTGGAGCATTCCCTTGTATGCAGTTTGGGTGTTTGGAGCATTCCCTTATATGCAGTTCCGGTGTTTGGTGCATTCACTTGTATTCAATTTGTGAGTTTTGGTGATTCTACAGTAGCTGTGCCTGTCTCTGAAAGGGGATTATCGTCTAAGCGGTTTTTACCCCTTTTGTGCAAAACGGTCAGTTACAATTGGGAATCAATTTTAGTGATTCTTTCTTCCACTGATAAAATTTTCTCAGAGATTACTTGGATTTGTGTTTGGAGATTCTATGTACTTTTGTCCAATTCAAATTGAAATTTATATTTATACAGTCATGTATAAAATCTTGCGTGACATTATGTGTATCCATATTTTGTGGTGGGGTCTGTGTGCCAGTTTGTATTCCTGAAGCAGTTTATTCCCAGTGATAAATGTGTATCTTTTCCTTCATCTTTTTTATTTTGGGCTGGGAAAAAAACCTGACATCCCTATTTCTTGTTTGTTATCGTGTTACTCATTATCTTTTGTAACCTGAGTTATTTTTGTAGCCATAGATAATTTATTGTTTTCTGATTATATACAAGCTTTTAAGAAGGACTATTTTGTTTTTCTATTCCTTATGCACTTTCGTCTTCCTTTTTTGGTTTATATTTTCCCTTCTTCTTCTCCTCCTCCTCCCTCATGACCCCCTTTTTTTTGCTCTTTTATTTTTTGCTCTTTTTTTTGGTTTCCTTATTTTTTCCACTCTCTTTTCCCTTTTTTCCTTCCTTTCTTTTATCCTTACCTTTCTCATTTTCTTTTCCTTTTCATTTTTATAGGAGATTAGTTCATAGAAGGTTCGGGTTAAAGTAATATAGAGGGGTTAAAGGTATAACGCTTTGATATATCAGTAATATATTTATATCAGGTTATAATTGGCAGAGAGATCGAAAAATAACCATTTAAAGAGAGAGTAAAAATAAAGAAATAATTTATGGTACTCGTTAACTTCTATATTGATAGTTGTTATCCTGAAGTTTTATTTTGTAGAGATTTTCTTAGGGGGAAGGTAGTTGTTCCCTGATGTTGGCTTCAATGTCTTTGGGGTTTGCCTTATTTTTGCTGCTTGTCCCTCCTTCTTTTGTCCTTTCCCTTATAATTTCTTCTATGGCTTTGCTGTGTTTTTTATAGATTGTATTACTGAGACCACCCAGCGTTTCTTCTACGGAATTTTCCTTGCCACCTGCAAAGAGTCAGTTTGTATGGCTCCTGACCTTCTAGGCTCGTAGAGTTTACCGGGCATTAGTTTGTACAATTTTCTTCTCATGTTCCTCTGTTTGTTTAGTCTCTTCTCTACATCCCTATGTCATTCTGTAATGTTCCTATGTTGTCATACTTTTAGTTTTAAACTTTTCAAATGATTTAATATTTTTGGACTTTTTAACTTTTACTTCTTTTCCCCAGTATTAAAATATCTTAAACTATATTACACAAAAGAATAGGTACCACTATATCAAAAATATTAAAATATTAATATATTTTTCTTAACGTTAAACATCTTAAATGTGTAATAAAAATGATTAAAAGTGTAATAAAAAGTATTAAATACTTTTAAAATCTTATCCAAACATTTTAAATAGAGAAACTAGTTCTTGGTGATTCACCACCTGAAAAATTGAGGAGTTGCATACATTATTAAGAGAAAAGGCCTGTAGTTTCTTATCTGAAAGGGAGGGATCCAATTTATATGTATGCAGTTTAACAAATGAACTGTTGCAAAAATATTTATAAAACTATACAATGATATTTTTAAGATCCTGTAAAATGATCACTTCTCTTTACCATGTGAGAATGTGAATACACCAACATATTTCAGTATTATAGTACATTTATTTACAAGTAAATCGTTTCAATGTTTTAGAATTCCTCACCTGTATGAGTTCACCGGATGTTTCTTTTGTTTCATTTCCAAGTGCTGAATTGTCAGTGTCTATAAGGTTGTCTATGGGGACATTTTGATTTGTCTTTAGGAATGTAAATTCACTTTCATTGGAATCCAAAGCCACACACACATTGTATGAGTAGGGGAGAGGTAGAGTTCCATTATATTGATGAGAAAATATCCGGGGATCAACTTGAGAATACATATTTGTACTTAGAGAATCAAAAGCTGGGTGAGGTTTAATTTCTTTGCATTTTGGTATAAATGCAAGCATAAGAGTTAAAACAAAAAATAAAGAAATGAGTACCAAGGCTATCACTAAATACATTTGCAAATTAGATTTGGGTTCATCACTGTTAAATGGATTATTGAGTTTGGGGAGCATTTGTTGAAAATTATCCGCAGCAATAAAGCTCACTGTAACAGTTGTTGAGAGAGCAGGGCTTCCATTATCTTTAACCATAACCACAACCTTATGTTTCCAAACATCTTTCTCGCTAAAGGGCCTTTTAGTCCTTATTTCTCCTGTGCGCTGACTAATGGTAAAAGGAAATGGTTCTGATATTTGTATGAAATGGTAAGAGAGCCAAGCATTATGACCAGAGTCAGCATCCACTGCAATCACCTTAGTAATCAAAACTTCTTCTTCAGCCGTTAAAGGCACCATCTCAAATGATGATGAGCCACCGCTTTCTGTTGATGGATACAGAATTTTAGGGGCATTGTCATTCTGATCCATGATATGGATGATTAATGTTGAATTGCTACTCAGAGATGGGGATCCTTTGTCTTTAGCAGTAATTTGAATAACAAATTCTTTATGCTGCTCATAGTCAAATGATCGCTGTGCATAGAGAACCCCACTCTCTAAATTTATAGAAAAATAGGAGGATACTGCAAAATCATCTCTGTTAGCGCTGGACATTGTATAAATAACTTTGGCATTGTCACCAGAATCAAGATCTGATGCATGTATACAATATATTGAAGCTCCTGGCAAGTTATTTTCTGGAACATAGGCTAAATAAGTATATTGAGTAAATAAAGGAGGATTGTCATTAACATCCGATATATCCAATCTGATGGCTTTCTTAGTGGAAAGGGGAGTTGATCCTCTGTCTGAAGCAGCAATTGTGATGTTATAACTTGATATTGACTCTCTGTCCATAGAACTTGTTGTCACAATTCTATAATAATTATCTGATGATAACATTAGTTTAAAGGGAACTTTTTCCATTATTTGACAGTCAACTAATCCATTTTCTCCTGCATCTTGGTCATGGACTTCAAGCAGCGCTATCATTGTGCCAGGAACAGAATCCTCAGGAATAGGTGTAGATAATGATGCAATTGTTATTTCTGGTGCATTGTCATTTTCATCTAAAATCTCAATCAATACTTTGCAATGGGTAACTAGTTCTCCCCCATCCTTTGCTTGTACAGATATTTCATAATTTCTCGTCACCTCAAAATCCAAGTTCTTACTAGTTTTTATTTCTCCAGTTGTAGAGTTAATAATAAATGTATCTATATTATGCACATTCCCTGTGCTTTTAGTAAAGGAATATGCGATCTCTGCATTAGATCCTTCATCTTTATCAGTTGCACTTACACAGAAAACACTAGAATTTATTGGAATGTTTTCTCTTATGCTTACTTTATATTCCTCTTGCGTAAATATAGGAAAATTATCATTGACATCAGTAATAATGATCTTTATTAAAGAAGTGCCTGATCTTATGGGATTCCCTCCATCCACTGCTGTTAGAATTAATTCATGAATGTTTTGTGTTTCCCGATCTAAAGGTTTCTCTAAAACAAGTTCTGGAAATTTACTGCCATTAGTTCTGTTTTTTTCACTCAGTATAAAATGCTGATTATCACTGAGCTTGTATGTCTGTATAGAATTAATGCCAATGTCTGGATCTTCTGCATTTTGCAAAACAAATCGTGCTCCTACTGAAATTGTTTCAATAATTTTTAAAGTAGCAATATCATTAAAAAATCTTGGAGTATTGTCATTAATGTCCAGAATTTCTATGTTGACTCTAGAAACATTTAAAGGATTTTCCACCACTGCATCAAAGGTTAGTAAGCAGTGAGCTGCTGCCCCACACAGTGTCTCTCTATCTATTCTGTCTTTAACATACAAATTTCCATTATCTAAATTTACAGAAAAATATTTCTCTGAAATACGTGAAATAATACGAAATCTGTGAAACTTAAACTGTTTAATATCTAAATCAAGGTCTTTTGCAATATTTCCTATAACAGAGTTTTTTCTCATTTCTTCATCAATGGAATAATGAATATGACCAGAGATTGAATGACAAAGCCATGAAAATAAGAAGGAAAATATTACTTGCCATCTGATTCCTCTGCAATTCTGTGAATCTAAGGTTTTCATCCTCATTCTTAATGTTTAAAATCCAAGCAATTTCTTGTTAGATTTATAATGCATATCATTTAGTTGATAGAAGAATGTATAGTGTTGATTCCTTTTTCTTTTGAAGAAAATAACTAGATATATCTTTCTGTGTTCTTTATATGATATAATCCAAAAATGGCTGTGTTTCTTCTTGCAGATCTGCAGTGTGTGTTACTGATGGAAATATCAGTGGATCTCCAGCTCTCCATTCTTCTCCTTATTGGTCAAACAGCGGCGCTCAGAGGTATAAATGTGGAATTGCATGACCAAGAAAATGCCTTCAGAATTTATTTAAAATATTTAACCTGTTTCATCAATAAAACATTTTGTCTTTTTAAAAAAAATTATATATAGAATGTATTATTTGTTTAATCAATTACTTAATGTTTTGCAATGATATTACTAAAGTGAGAATATATATATATATATATATATATATATATATATATATAATACACAAGATCCAGCGCACTCACCTATCCACTAAACAGCAACTTCAATGTTGAAAGATTTTTTTTTTTTTTTTTTTAAACACCTAATCTAGGCAAAAATAATGGGGGTTTAGTTACATTATATGATCATACATTTGTGCCTAGATTAGGTGTTTTTAAAAAAACAAACAAATAAAACCTTTCAATGTTGAAGTTGCTGTTTAGTGGATAGGTGAGTGCGCTGGATCTTGTGTATTGTATTATTTGGCCCCCAGCAGCACCCCCATTTATGCATGTTCAGGTGAGTGCAGCCAATCCCCTCTTGTTTCATATATATATATATATATATTCCAAAAAAGGTGGAATGCCAAAAATGATGCATTTTATTTTAGGATCAATCACTGGGCACACACTTTAAAGTACTTTATAACTCCTGGAATGATGGCCATACAACTGCTATGAATGCATAGTGTTATAAATAGTGTAACTAATTTAAGCTCTACAAGCCTTCATGGATAAGTTTTTATTCCCTTCCAGGTCAAATGTCCTTCTGAATACTTGAGCTCAAAACTGAATTGCATTTTTAAAGTGGAGTTTTACTTAAGCGTACTAACTTCCTGCAATCTATCAGAGTCTGAGCCCTTTAAAAAATGCTGGACATCCTCCTGCTCCACATGATGATGTTCAGCAGCAGGGACATCCTCACAGTAAATATTTGATTCAATGCTTTCCTATGGGGAAGGCCTAATGCGCTTAAGGCGCTTGCCTCACAGACGCACTACGTCCCCCCTGTCAGATGATGTTAAAGGAGGGGAGCCATGACCCAGCACTGAGGGATATTGGCGTTGGAATCAGGTAAGCAAATAAAGTGTTACCAACCCTTTCTGTGCCAAATGGGAGGACCGCAAGGGAGGGGGGACCATAGGGCACTATAGTGTTGGGAATACTAATTTGTAGTCCTTTTTTTTTTTTATGATTCTTTATTTTTGCAATGACAAAAGGTAATACACTTTGTACAGTGTGGCTTATGCAAAAGCCCCTTTGTGGTTCAGATGTATATATTTGCTTCATAATCAGAAAAACAAAGGCTCATAACATAGTCTATTCGGTGTACACCTGTTTTGCAGTCTTTCATTGTCATTGGTTTTATCAAGAAGAACAAACACTGTGAACATGTTTAACTTTGGTAACAATGTGATTAGATTGCCTTCTTGTTTTGGCGACTGAGTGTAATAAACATTGGGCCGGAGCACCGGTTATCTCGGCCCTCTGGTGAAGAATAGGGAGTGTGGTGGGGTGGGGGCGTTAACTGGTGTGTCTTGGTATTTTGTTTGGGTAATGTGTCCCCTGTCTGTCTATGTGTGATTGCTGGTCAATGTAGCTTTCCCAGGGTTCCCATGTCCTAGAAAATGTTTTGGTGGAGCCCCATATTTGGGCTGTGAGCTTGTCCATGAGGTGGCATTCTTTGATTTTGTTGAGTACTGTGGTCATTGGAGGAGTGTTAGGTTGTAGCCAGGGCTATTCTGTTGAGCAATTGTTGGTCTGGTCTTGGCCAATTGTCTAGGGGTCTGGCCAGCAGGAACGTCCATGGATTTAGTTCTACCGTCTGGCTAGAATTTGGGATAGTAGTGTTTGGATTTCTGTCCAGAAGAGTTTTACTTTGGTGCAGTGCCACCACATGTGGGTGTACATCCCTTTCTCTCCACAGTTTCACCAGCAGAGGTTGGTAGGTGTCTTTTTCATATGGTATAGTTGGACTGGGTGGTATACCACTGGAACATTGTTTTGTATGACTGTTCCTGCATTATGACACAGATGGGAGTTTTGGAGTTGGTCTCCCAAATGTCCTGCCAGTCAACACCTTCTAGGGTTTCCCACAAGTCGGTTTCCCATTTGTCTGTATAGTGGAGGATGCCCCATTCCGTGTGGTGGAGCAGAGGTGGGAGTAGAGTTGGATGATCATGCCCCTTTGTTATTGTTCCGCGTGGCAGATTTTTTCAAAGAAAGTCTGTTTGGCCTTTGCGGCTATTTTCACCGTTGTTTGGGCGGCGTAGTGTCTAAGTTGAAGATAGCAAAAGAAGTCTGCAGGGGTCAGGGTCGTTCTGGTTTGTAGTTCTGGGAAGGAGATGATTGTGTCGCCTGTATATAATTGGTGGACTCATTGGAAGCCAGCTCTCTCGAGGCCCCTAAAGTTCCTGGGTCTCATGCCTGGTATATAGGAGTGAGGGGGGAGGATGTGGTTGTTAGTTCATACTTAAGGGCAAACCTGTCCCACACAGGGTGGAGTTGGTGATGGATGGGCATGTTGTTCTTGGGAGTGCTCTGTGCTCCCTCGGGGTCCAGATATAGAATTGTGGAAGATCCGATTTCATAAGGAGTGATTCCAGGTGAACGCACCTTCTAGTTTCTGGGGGGGGGGGGGTATGCCATAGGGTTATCTGTGCCAGTTGGGCCGTAATATAGTAAAAATGTAGGTGGGGTAATCCTAGGCCTCCTCTCATTTTGGGTCGGTTGAGTATATTACGGGAGACTCTATGTCTCTTGTTTTGCCATATAAATCAGTTGATTACTCGTTGCAGGGGAACAAGGTCATGTTTTGTTATAGGAATGGGCAGGGCTTGAAACAGGAATAGGATACGGGGTAGGACATTCATTTTAATTGAATGTATTCTCCCAATCCAGGATATGGGTTTGTCCGCCCAGGTCTCCATGTCTGATATGAGTTTGGCTATCATAGGTGTGTAGTTTAATCTGTGGAGCTCCGAGGGTTCTGCTGGTAGTTTGACCCCGAGATATGTGAGATATTTGGGTGAAATGCATATGTGGTGATCTGAGGTGATTTGGGCGATATCCGTCCATGGGAGGTGGAGTGTGAGAGCGCAGGACTTCTCCATGTTAACCTTGTATCCTGAGATGGTGTTGTCTGTAGGAGAGGGAGTAGCGCTTGTATGGATGGAATGGGATTGGTTAAGGTAAGGAGAACGTCATCTGCTGGTACTCCTGGTTCTCTATCTTGGCCCCCGTAATCAGTGGGTGTTCCCTGATTGCCTGAAGGAGTGGTTCAAGCATTAGCACAAAAAGTAATGGAGAGAGGGGACATCCTTGTTGGGTGTCGTTGTTTATGCTGAATTGTGGGCAGTTTGCCCCGGTTATCTTTATTTGTGCTGATACATCGGTGTATAGTGCGCGTATTGCCGTGCTGTTTGGCGGGGGTATTTTTAGATGTTCTAATAATGTGAACATATAAGGCCAATTCACGCGGTCGAGCGCTTTTTCTGTGTCAAGGGAGAGGGCTGGGGAGGGGGTTTTGGCTGTGGCCAGCGTCCAGATTATGTCAATGCTTCGTCGTGTATTTTTGAATAGCTGTCTGCCGGGGATGAATCCGACTTAGTCGGGGTGGATTAAGTGCGTCAGGTATGGGTTGAGTCTCGTGGCTAGTATCTTAGCGAAGATTTTGCTGTCATGGTTTGTGAGTGAGATGGGTCGGTATGCTTCTGGTTGGGTGTGATCCTTGTCCGGTTTGGGGAGTAGTATAATATTTGCCTGTGTCATGTCTCTGTTCGGTGGTGTCCCTGTCATTAGATCTTGAAATAGGGTTTCCATTGTGGGAGTAGTTCCTCCTGGAAGGTTTTGTAGTAACCTCCCTCAAAACAGCCCGGGCCTGGGTCTTTGTTACTTTTAAGGGAGGAGATAGCTGCGTTTATTTTGTCTTTGGTTATGGGCACAGCTAGTTCTGATATGGCCTTTGTTCGGAGTTTAGGTGGGTCAGGAATTCAGATGTGGCCTGATGGACGTTTGCGTTAAATGTGTTGTCTTTTGGGGAGTGATTGTACAGTGCTTTGTAGTAGGCTGTGAAGGTGTGAGCTATATCAGTTGGTGAGGTTTTAAGTGAGCCGTCTGGGGCTCTTGTTGCAGTAATATGGGGGTGTTTTGTTCTGGGGCGCAGCGTGCGGGCGAGTAGGGTGTCCATTTTATTGGACTTGCCGTAGTATGTCCTTTTGGTCCAAGTTATAGCATGTGCAGTTTCATCTATGAATAGTCGTCTAATGGCGATGCGTGTTTCGTGGAGGTGTTGGAGTGCTTGTAGAGTTGGGTCTGTTTTATGACACTGTTCCGCCGTGCGGAAAGTGTCGAGTAGTTGTGTGAGTTTTTGGGTTTTGAGTTTCTTTTCTAATTTGTATTCCTAACACTATAAATTCCCTTTAATAACAACATTAAAATTACTCTAGAGATTGCTCTTTTGGCCTTACTAATGTCTTTATTCATGAACGACCAGGAATATTTAGTTACACATACTTATGCAGTAAAAATACAGATTGCTAGATGATAGAAACAAAAACACAACTTTTCAAAGATATCATGGAAAAATCAGTTGCTTTTTGGAAAGTGGTAGAAAATTGTTCATAGGGGCTTCTACTAAACACTACAAAATATGCCAAAATGTTTATTTTTAATAAAGCTAATATGTATTTTAGCTCCTTGCAAAAATTAAAATAGAGAATTGATTGACAATGTGACATTCCTTCTTCTCAGCAACCATAACTGTTTATAAGGACATTGAGTTATTGTGCCATTCTCTTCTCTATTCTTTTTTGTTTTTTTTGTTTCATATGTAATATGTTATGTATGTATACCCTTTGTATATTTGTTTGAAAAATAAAATAAAGAAAGAATAGAAAAATGCTTTTGTTAAATTTGCCACATATTCTCAAGAGCCAACGCAGCTGCAGCTGAGAACTACGGCCGACCCCCAAATAATGTAAGTACCGCCACAGTAACTTGATTTTCAGTATAACAGATGTCCAAAAGGTAGATCACCAAATGTCTTAGACAACCCTCATGATACTTTGCCACCCTTTATAGTAACAAAGTATCAATGAAGTTTTAAAATTAAAACATGTGGGGATCTATGTTTTAGGTCCTCTTAAAATTTAACCTATACATTAATGTTTGGTTCTCAAAAAACTTTGCATTGTTCTATTTGCACACGCACCCTTGAAAAGTATCAGAAAAAAAAAACTTTTTCCAGTATGGTCGTACATAAATTTATACCTTTAGGATGCCCTTGAAATAAAACCTGTTTGTTATTGAAATTCTTAACGTTGTGCATTGTTCTACATGCACACACCTCCTTACAATGGACCAACAAAAACCCTTCTCTTCTGTATCATCTTACATCTTTTTTTTATCATCTGACAATCCTAAGATAGGAATTTCAAGGTCCCCTGCAATGTCATTCATAAAAA